AAAAAAAAAAAAAAAAAAGAAGTGGGCATAACTAGAGAAGGAATGGAGTTCAAGGACTCAGTCCTGGAGCCCTTCAGCATTAAAAGGACAGACAGATGAGGAGGAACCAGACCAGGACACTGAGAGCAGGCAGCCAATAGGAAGCTGAGCTCATGGAAGCCAAGGCCTGTGAAGGAAGAGTGATCAGCAAACCCAGTGTTGGTAAAAGGCATCGGTAATGTGCTGCTGCTGAGAAATAAACATGAGTGGTGGGTTTGCAAGTGCCCACTCTGTGATTCTCTACACTTCTTGTGTGTTTGAAATATTTTATCATCTAAAAAGCAGAGAAAAAGCCAAGGAAATTTTAAGGAAATTTCATAAATGCTATTATTTTGGTGTGTTTTACCTTGGTCCTTAAAGTGAGATTCCACTTCCTGGTGCATGCTTTGTAGTGGTGAAGTGGTTTAATTTAGAATTAAAGAAAGTGATACTTCTGTGAAGCATGTCACACTGTGCCCCAGTATAAAGATGAGGAGACTAAACATATTGAAGAGGAAAAAACGTTTTATTTTGCAATTTACCCTCAGCTAGCAGATGTCTGACCCATAGGAACCACTAAACTAATCCTTGTGAAATGAAAAACTGATGGATGAGGAGAATCTAAGGATCTGGGTCTTTCCTAAGGTTCACTCGCCACCTAACATTTAACTCATCCGATGGGGATTTTCTTAGTCCATTCTGGCTGCTATAATGAAATACCATAGACTGGGTACAAGCACTGGTAAGTCCAAGACTAAGGTCATTAATTATATCCAGAATGTGAACACCACACAAATCTGGAAATTATGGTTTTAATCTCCATACATTTTAAATCAGGAGGTGAAGAGACATAGGAGATGAGAAAAGGACATAAAAATGAAATTAATGTCTATTATTGTCCATTCCTTCTGTCATTAATCTTTTAAGCAAACAACAAAATTATATCCTGCTGAACATAACTATTTCCTCCTTGAAATGAAAATGGTTTCATCTTACTCCTTAAGTCTTTGTTCCCATTATTACATGATGAGACCATCTTTCATGTCCTATTTTTGTCATAATCCCCCTTAAGACTAACTTAGAGACTGTTTTATAAAATTAACCAACTACCAACTTTATATAAAAAGAAACAATGAAAAGAAATCCATTTATAGATTAAAAAAAAGCATAGGAGAAAAAATTTGCATAGCTTCTATGATTCTTTGCTCTGTAGTGATCATAAGACCATATTGGTGTTTATTAACTTCCTCATTCCATATTCAATTTGCTCTCAGAGAACTTTCTACCTAGTATACACAGTGATCCAAATTTTCAACCCCAAAGGGCCTGTCTGTGTTGGACAGGAGTAAATTCCCACCAACATTTACTGCGAAGCATGCAATTACCATAAGGAACCCCTTGGTTGAAGATGTATTCCATTGTGTAGCTAGGACACTATTGGCCCCTTGCTAAGAAATATCAATAACGCCACATTCCCTATATTTCCATGATGGTTGGATGTCAAGAGAAACCTACAGTGTCCAGATGCAGTTTCAGTTTCTCCTCTGAGGAATTCTGGGGAAATAAAATCCAAGGTCATGCAAGCAAGAGGTACTTATTTCAGAGGGTGTGTTTAGGTTGAATTGTGGGGGAAAATCTTTCCACTTCCACTGTTTCCCAGCTGTGCGCTCTATCCAGGAAGAAACAGCAGGCTACTTGAGAGCGCAGTACTCGGACTTGCTATATGCTGTCTCCCCCTGGGGCTGCTACTGAGTCTTCCTACAAGGCCAGCTGCTTTGGGGTTCATGATAAAACCACTGAATCCCGTGGTACTCAGGGTACCCCTCACTTCTCTGTCCTGTACGTTGTTCCTGTTTGGGAAGGACACCATGAAGGTGAACAAGACACTTGGAATGTCGCACACCAATGTGCTGACTGAGACACGGCAGGAAGGATAAGCACACTGCATAAGTATTTACTCCAAAGAGTGAGGGAAATAACTATATAACTCCAAAAAGGGAAAACAAACCCCTGCCTCCTCCATGATGAGAAGATTCACACAAAACCTAACCAATTGGACACCAAGTGGCTGCAGGTCCCCGCTGGGGTGTCAGAGGATGCTTTACACTGGTAGGTGGCCTGCTAGGCGCTTAGCCGCGAAAGCAGTTTTGATAAGCAGTCCCTCCTGGTAAACTCCCATTCCTGCTGCCACTGAGAGGCTAAAACCCCGGAGTGTGACTGAGGTCACCAAAATAGGCAGAACTGAAGCAAACAGCCGTATCTTTATCTCAGACTGGGTGCAGTCGGGCCAAGGACAAGAAGGTAGTTGGCCCTGAGCAGGTGGAATGGGTAGGCTTTCATAGGGGAGCTAGGGGAGGGGCATTGTGGAGGGGAGTACAAAATTTGAGGTCTCTGAGTAAGGGATCTAAGGCTAGGTGACAGGGCGGTGCTGGGTACAGGGGTGCTGGCAGGCACAGCATGTCTCGTGGGTTTTGCAGAATCAGCTCTCTGAGGTTAAGCTATGTGTGGCAGGGTCCAGGTACCTGTTCAATGCTGCGCTCCTGTAGGTGCGAATAACAGATCTACTGGGGTGTTTACAGGCCCGGACATGAACTACGTACATCTTCTGTCACCAAGAGGAGGTGGTACTCAGACTGAGTCACTCGGTTACTCCTGTTATAAATAGCAGCGCCTGGAAGCCACCCCTTCAGCCGCATCCCCAAGGTGTGGGCTGAAGAGTTCGAGGATCCCCGCTCCGGAGGCGCTCAGCACAGCGAGCAGAGATCCGGGTTTCCGGGCTGCTCCAGGGGGCCGCCCCGCAGCCAGCCGGGAGGTGCGGTCGTCCGGGCCCCCAGTCCGCGCCGTGCCGCCCCGCGCGCGCCAGTTCTCGGAGCTTCCACCCGGCGCGGGCTTGCGCGACTGCGGCTGAGGAGCGGGGGAAGGCGGAGTTGGTGGGGAAACGAAACCGAGAGTGAAGGGGCGGGAAGCGCTGGGCTCCGGCGGCCGCGGAGGAGCAGAGGTCCGCCCTCCCGCACGCGGACGCGTGTCGCCGGCCCCGGACCCCGCGGCGCTGCCCAGCTCCGGCCTCCCGGGCACGGAGCCTCCCGGGAGCTGCGAAGATCGTGGAACGGTAGGCATGGCACGCTGTTTTCCTCCCGGGAGAATCTGTCTCGGGACAAGTAACCCATGTCTGTCCTGCAGCGATAGAGGGGGTCGGGGTGGGTGGGAGTGGGTTGTGGAGGAAAACAGACGTGCCCAGTGACTTCACAGGCAGTTGAGAAATTGGGGGGCCCGAACTACCCATAGATCGGCTGAATTATACCCAGAGAATTACAGTTGTTTCCCAGCGGCCCAGCCTCAGCCCCTCCATCCACCTCCTCTGGACATCTCGGCTGTCAGGCCCTCCTCGTGGCTTCGCGTCTCGGCTCCTGTAAACCTTTCTCAGGCTCACAGGCAAGGCCCTTGCGCTCTCCACTGTGGACACATGGGCTTCCTTGTACCTCCAGCCACTAGGCCTTTGCACTGCCAGTTTCTTTTTCCTGGAAAGCTCTTCAGACGCTTGACTGAGCAAGTCCCTCCCTTTATTTTCTCTTCTTGCCAGTTTAATCCTCCCCCAACAACCTGCATATAAAGGAAACCCCTCCTCCTTGTTCTTGTCTGTGCTCCAGTAACTTTTGGGAGGTTGTGTGTCCAAATTTGACCATTAGTGAATTCACAACAGCAGAGTTTTGTTTCTTGATATGATCCCGGAACCTAATACCCAGTAGGTGCTCATTAAACGTTTCTTACGTGAATGATGATTCATAAATACTCTTGGGTTCCAGAAAAATGAAATTTCGCATTGCCCGTGTTTTCTTTGGTACTAAAAATGCCTTTTCAGATGTGAGCAAAAAAGATATACTCTCTGCAGTCACTTGGGAACTTAAAATCTTGGGCAAGTTATGTTCTTGTTTCCTGCTTTGCTTATTTGAATCTGAAGAGCCAACACGCTCTACTTGTAGATTATTTACCTGTTAACTAGACACTAGTTGAACGCAAGTTATACGGGGAGCCGGTACTGGAAGGGGCTCCGCTCCGTGGGCGGCCACTGTCTGCTGGATGGGAATGGAGGAAACTTCTGGGCCTGAGTAAGAGGAACAAGGTTTGTTAGTGATTATGATGGAGATTTCTTTAGGTGGGTGAGGTCTGCCCAAGGAGCCCACTGCTTAGTTTACAGAGCAATCAAGGCGGGGAAGATTGGACAAGATGGACTGGCAAGCCCACAAGAGGAGGTAGTAGCTGCCCCTCCAGCATCAAAGAAGACTGTGTTGACCCAGAGAAATGAATGGGAATTGCCCTCTTGACAGAGGATGCAGATACTACATTTGGCATTTAGATAAAAGCAGGTGAAAACTCCTGGGATGGGGAATCCGGAAATAGTTTAGTATTCATTCATTCATTCATTCATTCATTATTGAGCCCTTTTCATCGTCTTGATGCTTTTCTTCTTGTAATTCCTGGTCTGTTTGGAAGCTAGTGAAGTACCCAGTTGTAATGAAGAAACAAAGGGTGTGAAAGTACCTAAGGTTTTGAGCTGATAACTGTGGGCAGCAGGAGCTGACAGAGCAAAGGCAGCACAAGAGGTAGAGTCAGAAGCAGTTCAGAAGGGAGCTGGTTAGGCAGGGCCAATTGGGAGTGAAGGAAAGGGTGAGTGGTGGAATGGGCTTTTGAGAACCGTCGTTGTTTAGGTGCAGTTTCAAGCCACAAACCTGGAGGTGGTCATCATGAGAGTGTATGTAAGCAGAGAAGAGATTTAAGGACTGGATCCCTGGACACTACCATAGAGAAAGGGAGATGTGGAGGAATTGGGAAAGAAGATAAGAGCAGCTTATGAGAAAGGATAAAAACCAGCAGAGTAGCTATTTTAGAAGTCTGAGCTTAGAAAGGGAGAAGGAGGAGAAAATGGGCAATCAAGTGTTGGTTGTGGGCCAAGTAGATAAGGACCAAGAACTGACTATGGGATTGAGCAATGGGGCAGCCATTGGTAACCTTGGTAAGAATAGTTTTGGTGGCTTGTAAGGGTGCATATTTGGGTTGATATCTTAAAAAGATCACAAGGTAACTGTTGTTAAAAAAAAAAAAGGAGCACTGGGGATTTAGCTCAGCGGCAAAAGCGCCTGCCTGGCAAGCACAAGGTCGTGAGTTCGGTTCCTGGTACGGAGAAAAACCAAAAAAAAAAAGGAAAATAGATGTTGGTGAGGATATGGAGAAACTGGAACCCTTGTGCATTGCTGGTAGAAATGTAAAATGCTAAAGCTACTTGCAGACCAATTCAGCAATTCCTTTAAAAGCTCAACATGGAATTACCATATGATTGTCTTAGTTACTTTTCTCTTGTTGCTGGGACAAAATACCTGACACCCAAAATTAAGGAAGGAAAGGTTTATTTTGCTTACAGTTTGTGGAGGTTTCAGTCCATACTTGGCAGGTTACAAGGCAGAGTGGCACATGGCAGAGAGCTAGGGCTCATGGCAGCAGAACACAGCAAAAGCAACAAGCACAAAAGAGAGGAATGGCCCCAAGCAGCCTCTTCCTCTCCCTTACATATGCAAACTATCCACCCCAGGGTGGGTGTAGCTCTCATACCCATAATCAGTCAAACTCTAAAAGCCTGCCCCATGACCACATGAGGCTTTGGGGACCTCACACAAGAGACACAAACCATAACAATGATTAACTCTACTTCTACTTATCTACCTTAAAAATTTGAAAGTAAACACTTAAACAGATATTTATATACCAGTGTCCATAGCACCATTATCCACAATAGCCAAGGAGTTGAAATAACCTTTGGCCATCAACTGATGAATGGATGTACAAAATGTGGGATATGCAACCAATGGAATATTATTCAGCCTTAGAAATTCTGAGACATTCTACTATGTGGACAAACCTTAAAGATATTATGCTAAGTGAAATAACCAGACATTAAAGGACAAATATTGCATGAGTCCAGTTTATGAGGTAACTAGACTAAGCAAATCCATAATGACAAAAAATAGGACAGAGACTAGTGAGGGTAAGGGCAAGGAGAAATAGGGGAATTATTGTTTAATAAGAATTTTACTTGGAAAGATGAAAAGAGTTCTGGATGTGGATGGTGGTAATAGCTGGGTAACATTGTAAATGTAATCAATGCCAATGAATTGTACATTAAAAAATCATTAAAAGGATGAATTTAATGTTGTGTACAGTATTAGTCAGCTTTCCATTACTATAACAAAGTACTTGACTGTATGAATTTATTTATTTATTTATTTATTTATTTATTATTATTTTTTTTTGGTTTTTCTCCGGTACCGGGAACCAAACTCACGACCTTGTGCTTGCCAGGCAGGCGCTTTGCCGCTGAGCTAAATAACTGTATGAATTTATAAAGAGAAAGATTATTTTAGCTCATGGTTTTGGAGATTCCAGGCAAAGATGAAGTAGCCTTGTTGCTCTGGGTCTCTGATGAGGCCCCATGTCATAACAGGAGTATATGGCAGAGTAAACCCCTCACCTCAGGAACCAATAATTAAAGAGAGGAGAAACAAGTCAGGCCTCATGGTGCACATCTGTAATCCCAACACTCTGAGAGAGTGAGGCAGGAAGATTGCAAGTTTTAGCCCAGCCTAGGCAAGTAAGTGACTTAATGAGACACAGTCTCAAAATAAAAAATAACTTTAAAAAAATGGACAGGGATATATAGCTCAGTGGAGAAAATTTTGGGTTCAATCCCCAGTACAGGCTGGGCATGGTGGTGCATACCTGTAATCCCAGCACTTGGGAGGCTGAGGCAGAAGGATCACCATGAGTCTGAAGCCATCCTGGGCTACATAGTGAGTTCAAGGCCAGCCTGAATTACATGGTGAGATCCTGTCTCCCAAAAAAAAAAATCCTCAGTATGGGGCCAGGGGGCAGGAGGGGGGGAACAGAGAGAGAAGGGGAGAGGGAGTGAAGGGAGAAAGGGAGAAAGAGAGGAAGAAAGGGGAAGGGAAAAAGGAAGGGGAAGAAGAAGGGGAAAAGGAAAGAAGTAGAAAAAGAAGGGGCAGAAGAAGAGGAAGAAGAGGACCAAGACCACCATGAAGACAACGATGAATAAGACGAGGTGGAGGAGAAGCAGGAGGAAGAGGCGAAAGGAAAGTAGGATTCCACAGTCCCCTTCAAGGGTGCACTCGTGATCTTCTGTGAGGTGTACTACTCATATTTTGATTGAGAATTCATAAAATCTGTATAACAGTTTTGGAAGTGTGTTCATTTTCACTATATTGGTTCTGCCTATCCAGTTACAGAGTATATCTTTCCATTTTCTGATATACTCTTTGATCTTTTTCAAAGTACTGTAGGTTTTAGCGTATAGGTCTTTCATTTACTTTGTTAGTATTTCATTTTTCTTGATGCTATTGTAAAAGATGTGGTTTCCCTAATTTCTCTGTCAGTGAGGTTTTTTTTTCCCCTTCTCTCCCCAGGGGACTTTTTTGTTTGACTTAAAGTTTAGAAGGAGCACTGGAGTTTGTTATTTATGTACAGGAATACTATTGATAATTGAATGTTGACTGTATATCTTTCTCCAGTGCCAAATTTGGTTATTAGTTCTAGGAGTCTTTTGGTTGAGTTTTTGGGGTCTTTTATGTAGAGTATCATGTCATCAGCAAATAATGATAATTTAACTTCTTTCTTTTCTATCTATATTCCTTTTATTTCTTTCTCTTGTCTAATTGCTCTGGCTAATGTTTCCAGAACTATATTGAATAGGAGTAGTGATAATGGGCATCCTTGTCTGGTTCCAGATTTTAGAGTGAAGGCTTTCCATTTTTGTCCATTTAGTATAATATTGGCTGTTGGCTTGTCATAGATAGCTTTTATTAGATTGAGATAGACCTTCTATTCCAACTTTCTGTAGGTTTTTAAAAAATCATTAATGGGTATTGGACTTTCTCAAATGCCTTTTCTGCATCTGTCGAGATGGTCATGTAATTTTTATCTTTGGTCCGTTAATATGATGTATTACATTTATTGATTTGTGTTTATTGAACCATCCATGCATCCCTGGGATGAATCTTATTTGGTCATGGTGTATAATCTTCTTGATGACTTGCTGCATTCCGTTTGCCAGTATCTTATTGAGGATTTTTGCTTTTATGTTCATTAGGGAGATTGGCTTGTAGGTCTCTCTTTTGGTTGGATCCTTCTCTGGTTTTGGTATCAGGGTAATGCTGGCCTTAAGGAATGAGTTAGGGAGTATTGCTTCTGTTTCAATTTCATTAAAGATTTTGAGGAGTAATGGCATTAGATCATCTATAAATTTCTTGCAGGATTCAGGAGTGAATCTGTGAGGAACTGGTTTTTCTTTGTTGGTAGTTTTTAAATTATGCCTTTAATTTCATTGACTGATATTAGTTTATTGAGAATTTTTATGTCTTCTTGATTCACCTTTGGGGATCCATATGTATTTAAGAATCTGTCCATTTCTTTTGAGTTTTCCATTTTATTAGAGTACAGGTTCTCAAACTAGGTATTGATCATCTGGATTTCTACAGGATCTATTGCGATTTTGCCCTTTCCATCCCTAAGTGTATAGATTTGATTCTTTTTGTTCCTTTTCTTTGGATAAATTTAGCTAATATTTTGTCAATTTTATTTAATCTTTGAAAGAACCAGCTCTTAGATTCCTTGATTCTTTGTATTGTTTTCTTAGTCTCAATTGCATTAATTTCTACTCTAATTCTACTCTAATTTCTACTCTTTGTAATTTCCTCCCTCATATGAGCTTTAGGCTTGACTTGCTCTTATTTTTCTAGAAGCTTGAGGTTCAATATTAAGTTATTTATTTGAGCTTGCTCTGTTTTTCCGATGTAAGAATTCACTACTCTAAATTTCCCTTGAAGAACTACTTTCACTGCATCCCATAACTTTTGGTATATCATATTAACATTAACATATAATTGTAGAAACTGTCTAATTTCTTCTTTAATTTCATTTGTGACCTATTGTTTGTTCAGGAGAGTGTTACTTAATTTCCATGTGTTTGTGTAGTTTTTGTGATTTCTTTCATCATTGATTTTCAATCTCATTGCACTGGGCTGGGGATTTAGCTCAGCGGCACAGCGCCTGCCTGGCAAGCGCAAGGTCATGAGTTCAATTCCTGGTACTGGAAACCCCCTCCCCCCCAAAAAAAAATACTAGAAGTCAATTTCATTACACTATGATCTGATAATATATACAGAATAATTTCAATTCTTTTGCATTTACTTAAGCATGTTCTATAAGCTAATATGTGGTCTGTTTTAGAGAAAGTGTGCTTATGGGGAGAATGTGTATTCTGTTGTGTGGTTGAACACTCTAGCTATCTAGTAAATCCATTTGCTCAAAGGCTTGGTTCAGCTCTGCTATTTCTTCGTTGATTTTTTTTGTCTAGTCGATCTATTTGTGACAGTGAAGTAAGTCTCCCATTGCAGTTGCATTGGTGCTTATCTGATTTTTCCTATCGATCAGTGTTTGTTTTTTATAGTTGGGTGTGTCAGTATTTGTTGCTTATATATTTATGATTGTTATTCCCTCCTCTTGGATTGTTCCCTTAGCAAGTATGGAGTAACTTTGCTTGTCTCTTCTCATCAGTCTTGGTTTGAAATCCACTTTGTCTGCAGATAGAAGAGCTACCTCTGCTTTTTTCCGGGTTCCTATGTGACAAAATTCTTGAGAGAAACAACTTAAGGTAGAGAAGATTTTTTTTCTGGTTCATAGTTTTAGAAGTCTCATTCAATGGTCAGCTGTCTCCACTGCTCTTAGGCCTATGGCAAGGCAGGAGCATCATGGTGGGAGATCGTGGAGGAGGAAAGCTGCTACCTCATGGCAGTCAGAAGTAAGAGAGGCCAGAGAGCAGAGAGAGACAGAGATGAAGGGGCTAGAGCAGTGGTGGCAAACCTAAGGCATGCGTGCCACGCAGCGGGCTCGCAGAACCCTCTCTGTCGGCACACAAGCCAAGTCAGCCCAGCCAAAGTTTGACAAATGATCATGCATACAACACCGTAAATCACATTAATTGTGCAAAAGCACACCAAGTGCGAACTTTGACTGTTCAATAAAAAGCTGTATCACTGAAAGTCCTGTCACTGTGTTTTTCTTTTAACACAAATGATGTTAATGCATGAGTTGTTTTTTCTGAACCTAAAACCTTGGTATTAAGGTTTAGTTGCAGTGTTGGCATTCGGTCTCTGAAAAGTTCTGAAAGTTTTGCTATCACTGAACCAGAGAGTGAGACAGCTGGAGAGAGAGAAGCCAAATGTAGTCCATAGGAAGGGGCCAGATGTGGTCCCTAAAACCCACTTCAATCCTGGTGTCCCTTCAAGGAGGCCCTACTTCCTATTTCTATCACTTCCCATTGATGCCTTAAAATTACGATCTCATAGTGATGCGCAGATGATACTAGAGACCTCACGGTCCCAGCATTTCCCAGAAGCCCATCAGCAACGAAATTCCACAATGAGCCTTTGGTGGAACGTTTCAGACCCAAACCATAAGACTGGAGAAACTGTCCTAAAACTGATTTCTGCAAATTTCAAAGGAGAATTTTTGGGATTTCAGTCTACTTCCATGCAGCAGAAATCCTTCATGAACCCATAAACTTAACTTACATATACAGTAAACTTTGAATTTATGTGAGGCCGAAATGAGTCATATAAAGGAGAGGGTCCCTACTGCTGTCCTGCTACATCCATTGATAAAATGTTCTGTGAGTGTCACTCACGAAAACATCTTTTCTCTTATAGGTTATCAGGAAAAATGGCCACTGGTCTTTCACCAGGTTTCTACATAGAAGAACTTAATAAATACCATCAGAAGCATAAAGTAAAAGTTTCCTATCAGGAACTGTCTGTGACAGGACCGTCACACAACTTACTGTAAGTTGCTATCAAAAAGATATATCTCAGGGGCTGGGAGCATAGCTCAATAGTAGACTATGTGCTTAGCATGTGTGAGGCCTTGGATTCCATACCAAAAGGAAAAAAAAGCTATATTCTATAAATGTGAACCTGGGCGTTGGCAACTCTGGCACAGTTTTGAGGGCAATACTTTAGCCATATTGCAAAGTTATCAGAGTTCTGTGAAAGTCCTCAACGTGTCTTCAGCTGACTCCAGCAAAAAAGAAAAAAAGGGCAGGCATAAGCTTCCCCATGTCCAGGAAGATGTGCTATTTTGCTACTTGGCGGGGGGCTGTTTAAATTCTACACCAGACATAGGTTGGAAGTTTTCAAGGTGATCATGAGAGGCGGGGGTCCTTGGAGACGTGTGCTTACATAACCCAGGAGCTGCGCCATGATTGTGAATCTTCTCTTTGTGATCAGGTATACATTTCAAGTAGTTATAGATGGAAGAACATTTCCAGAAGGTGAAGGTAGATCAAAGCAGGAGGCAAAAAATGCTGCTGCCAAATTAGCTTTTGATGTACTTACTCAAGAAAAAAAGGTAAGTTATTGCTTTTTTTTCCTGTGGAAAGGGAACTCATAAATAGTTTGAATTTTTCTGTGAAAAAAACCCGTATGTAGAGTAAAGCCATTTGGAAATTCTTTTACATCTAAGAATGTAGTTCAGTCTTTTTTTTTTTTTTTCCTCTGTCTCTATTTCAGTGAAACTCTAGGAAACAGTGGGCAAAGCTGAATCACACCCAGTTAGAGTGCCCGCAGCAGTTCAGTAGTCTAAAGTTGAACAAATGTGGCAAGGGAAAAATGTTTAGTAAGAAGTGAATTTACAGGGACTGGGGATTTAGCTCAGCGGCAAAAGCGCCTGCCTGGCAAGCGCAAGGTCGTGAGTTTGGTTCCTGGTACTGGAGAAAAACAACAAAAAAAAAAAAAAAAAAAAAGAAGAAGAAGAAGTGAATTTACAAGTTCTGTGAGGGGTCTCCTCCACTTGATTGAAAATGTTCAATAGAAATGGAAAAAGAGGTGCATGTGCTTGTAGGGAGAATGATGTACAGAGGGGCAAATAATGAAGAATGATCTTAAATAGAGTTGGTTTCCCTGAAGATGTAAGCACAGTGAACAGTACAGAAGAAAGCTATATGGGGAATGGGTGTATAGCTTGGTAGTAGAGTATGTGCTTAGCATGGGGGAAACCTTGGGTTTGATCCCCAGAACTAAGCAAATAAACAAAACTATCTAAAGAAATTTCAGTTGAAAATGTGAATAAATTAAACACTTGACTGCATATTAAGATAACTCACTAGATATAGGAAAATGCCAAACCCCCAAGAACAATACTGATCCTTGTGAAAATACTGAGCTCCAGGGAGAAAGGAGGAAGTCTACAAAGATCTAAGTAGAAAAAAAATATAGAAAATGTCAAAATGAAATAAAAGTCATGCTGTCTATTGCAACATTAAAGCACAGGAGACAGTAAAGCAATGCTTGTAAAACGAGATAGAAAATCACTTACATCTGAGACTACAGATCATTCTCAGATACAGAAGAAACTGGAAGAATTTGGCTATCAAGATACTTTCCTGAAAAATCTTAATTGAAGATGTCATCTTTCTAGTAAAAATTAAAAATAATCAAAGTCACTTTTCTAGTAAAAATTAAAAATAATCAAAGTCACTTGCAAGTTATTTATAAGTTAGGAAATTGCAGTCGAGAAGTTAGAGAAAACAATATAATATCTGCCAAGCGGCTGAGGAAAGACAGTAATAATGATGGCAGAAATTAATGCAAAAGAAACCAGAAAGTAATAAGGAAGATCAATAAAACCAAAAGCTAGTACTTTTTTTTTTTTAA